TAAATGATGATGATGCTAAAGAATTCCACAAATCCTTTTCCCCAGATATAGTAATAATTCCCTCATCAGTGGAGAAAAACAAAGATGAAACAATTCCTTGAGGATGAATTACTAATGTTAAGAACAGAAAAATGTTATGAACACATCCCATACATTTGATGGGCTTTTTTCCTTGCAAACACCACCCTACAGCATTTACCTGTTGGTATTTCAGTAGGATCTCTGCCAAGGTACCGCCGAATCTGACCGTCTTCCTTGGCGGCGATCTCAGAAATTCATCCTCAGCCAACATGTCTGAAAATCCTAAAAAAAATTAAAAATAAATCGCAATGTAAGATTGGCATCTGACCATGAAAGTGAAAATCATTTGATTTTGATGAATCCACCAGGATAACCAACCAGTGTTATTTATTCTGGGGAGGATGGGAGTTGTAGTAGAACCAGGGCCTCGAATTCTGGCAGGACAACCTACCCCCCTGCAGCCCAAATGCAGCCTGGTGCTGGGGAGGATGGGAGTTGTAGTAGAACCAGGACCTCGAGTTCTGGCAGGACAACCTACCCTCCTGCAGCCCAAATGCAGCCTGGTGCTGGGGATGATGGGAGTTGTAGTAGAACCAGGACCTCGAGTTCTGGCAGGACAACCTACCCTCCTGCAGCCCAAATGCAGGCTGGTGCTGGGGAGGATGGGAGTTGTAGTAGAACCAGGGCCTCGAGTTCTGGCAAGACAAGCTACCCTTCCAGCTTCGGCCTTGGAGGGCCAACAAAACCCCATCGCGCAGAGCCAGATAGAAGACACGACTCCTCGTGTCTGGCCTACCTCACAGGGCTGTTGTGAAGTAGTAGGCGACACAAAAGGAGGGGGGAGCGAAAGACCCCCCCCCCATCCCCGAGTCCTCCCCCTCCCTCACCCGCCTTACGGCCCGCACCTTCTCTCCCCGCTCGGCAGCCTCCGCCGGGCTCAGCCGCTCTCCGTCCTCCCCTCGCGAAACCTCCGCCAGCGCCGCCGCCTCTTGCCCCTCATACTACCCGGAGAGTAAGAGAACCTCCTGCGCACGCAGTCGCCACCACTTCCGCCCGACACCGGAAGCGAAAGGGCGCTTCCGCCCGGCTCCCGAAGGAGAAAAGAGGCAGCCGCCTCTTCCGGCTCGCGAGCGAACGCCGCGGGTTGGCTGGAATCTCCCGAGGCGCCTGCGCAGAAAAGAAAAGGGGCGGGGCTGCCCGGAGGGGTTTTATTGTAGGATGGGAATAAAACGAGCGTGAGAATATTCATAAAACGTTCTTATATAGGAAAATGTCAATAAAATTAAAAAAGAATTCTTAATGTTTCCGCTATCAATTTTTTTCTTTTAGAAATAAATGCAATAGATTGCAAATAGTTAAAAGATAGAATACAACAGAATATAGAATAGAATAGAATAATTTATTGGCCAAGTGTTATTGGACACACAAGGAATTTGTCTTTGGTGCAGATGCTCTCAGTGTACTTAAAAGAAAGTTTTCCATGATGTTGCATTTTTTTAAAACTTTCTTCTGGTTACTTTTAGACCACTTTAAAAAAAAGGAAAGAGATATTTACAAATCAATGCAATATATGGCAAATAGTCAAACGTTTCCCCCGCAAAATTAAGAAAACAATGAGAACTGGAAAGACACTTGTGTGACCCTGTAAGAAAATTAAAATTCTCCAGCTGGATGGTTCATAGTTCCAAATTTTAAGTTTCCAAGGGGGATCCACCTTCAACCACCTTCAATTTGGATCAAACCCCCTTCAATTTGGATCCAATATCTCAGGGTGACTCAAACCTAAACGTAAAGGTTCCCCTCGCACATATGTGCTAGTCGTTCCTGACTCTAGGAGCGGTGCTCATCTCGGTTTCAAAGCCGAACAGCCAGTCCAAACATGTCTCTGTGGTCATGTGGCTGGCATGACTAAACGCCAAAGGCTGTTACCTTCCCCCAAAAGCTGGTCCCTAATTTTCTACTTGCATTTTTACATGCTTTTGAACTGCTAGGTTGGCAGAAGCTGGGACAAGTCATGGGAGCTCACTCCATTACGCAGCTCTAGGGACTTGAACCGCCGAACTGCCGATCTTTCTGATCGACATCTTAGCCACTGAGCCATCACATCCCTATATACTCGTGACTCTGTTTACTTTAACCTTAATAAAAGTTAAGTTCAGAAGCCCGCATGCTGGTTCCACCCGTTATGTAAGAGACACGTCAACCTTGTCCAGACCCCATAAATTAACTTCCAGTTCAGTAACTGAGCACAAGTCCTTTTATGATGCTGTTTGACTGTCTCTGGGAGACATAACCGGTGTTTAACAGGATGTAAAAAACTGTTTCAGAGTGGGTAATCATTTTAGTTTTGGTCATTTTGTGGTAACAGTGTTTTTGAAGATTCTGGTTTCTCCTGATCCTGGGGACGAGCGCTTCCACCCGTTTCAGAGCGGGTAAGCGTATCTAGGCCATTTTGTGGTAACAGTGATTTTGAAGATCCTGGTTTCCCACGATCTTGGGAAGAAGTGATGTCAATTGTTTCAGAGCGGGTAATAATGTTTAGGACTCTCTGTGGAATCAGTGATTTTGAATGTTTTTGTTTCCCACGATCTTGGGAAGGAGTGCTTTCAACTGTTTCAGAGCGGTGGATCAGTTTTAGGACTTTTCTTGATAAGAGTGACTTGGAAGACACTTGTACTCCACGATCTTGGGTACGAGGGCTTTCAGGCAAGCCTGGAAAAGAAAGCAAATCCCACCGGTTACTTCTACTACCCTCCTTGCAAAGTTGCCTTTCGTAAACTAGTTTTGAAAGGAACGAAGTTGGAAAGGCTTGGACGAGGATCCCAAGATCGAACACAGGAGGGATCTGCCACAAACTGCTCCCTCTTCGACATTAATGAAATGTTATCATAAACCATTGTCATTTTTTATTAATAGCTCAAGGCAGCAAACATACCGGAATGTTCCTTCCTCCTGCTATTTTCTCTCTAACAACCACCCTGTGAGGTGGGTTGGGTTGGCCTGAGAGGGAAAGCCACCAGCTGGTTTTAGCGGAACTAGAGCTCACTGTCTCCTGGTGATTGATCCCAAGTCTCTAGCTGGCTTTAGTGGAACTAGAACTCCCTGTCTCCTGGTGATTGGCCCAAAGTCACACCAGCTGGCATTCATGGCTTGTGAAACTAGAACTCATAGTCTCCTGGTGATTGGCCAGTCACCCACCTGGCTTTAGTGGAACTAGAACTCCCTGTCTCCTGGTGATTGGCCCAAAATCACACCAGCTGGCATTCATGGCTTAAGGTGAAACTAGAACTCACTGTCTCCTGATGATTGGTCCAAAGTCTCCAGCTGGCTTTAGTGGAACTAGAACTCCCTGTCTCCTGGTGATTGGCCCAAAATCACACCGCTGGCTTTAGTGGAACTAGAACTCCCTGCCTCCTGGTGATTGGTCCAAAGTCACTCTAGCTGGCTTTAGTGGAACTAGAACTCCCTGCCTCCTGGTGATTGGTCCAAAGTCACTCCAGCTGGCATTCATGGCTTAAGGTGAAACTAGAACTCCCTGTCTCCTGATGATTGGTCCAAAGTCTCCAGCTGGCTTTAGTGGAACTAGAACTCCCTGTCTCCTGGTGATTGGCCCAAAGTCACCCAGCTGGCTTTAGTGGAACTAGAACTCCCTGCCTCCTGGTGATTGGCTCAAAGTCATCCAGCTGGCTTTAGTGGAACTAGAACTCACTGACTTCTGGTGATTGGCCCAAAGTCACACCAGCTGGCATTCATGGCTTAAGGTGAAACTAGAACTCCCTGTCTCCTGATGATTGGTCCAAAATCTCCAGCTGGCTTTAGTGGAACTAGAACTCCCTGTCCCCTGGTGATTGGCCCAAAGTAACCCAGCTGGCATTCATGGCTTAAGGTGATACTAGAACTCCCTGTCTCCTGGTGATTGGCCCAAAGTCACCCCAGCTGGCATTCATGGCTTAAGGTGATACTAGAACTCCCTGTCTCCTGGTGATTGGCCCAAAGTAACCCAGCTGGCATTCATGGCTTAAGGTGATACTAGAACTCCCTGTCTCCTGGTGATTGGCCCAAAGTAACCCAGCTGGCATTCATGGCTTAAGGTGATA